TGAAATGAACATAACAATAATAAGCAATCATGACAAAGACTAACTTCTATGAAAACCGAACTGTTCTTGAACATACTTCATAAATTGGCTGGTTTCCAGGGCCACTTGGTAGTGGTTTATAGTCCTGTGCACTTCCATCTGCAATTCTCAAGTTCAGCATAATCCATTTGAGATAATTTCTATAGTACTTAAGGTTTACAGCACTTACCGGATGGGTTGGACTCATCGACTTTGGATTTAGCCGCTTCCTGAAAACAGAATATCAAAATCCTCATAAATAATGTTATGCCAAATGGAAGCAATCCAAAGAAAACTGAAGGAACAATGGGAAATTATACCTTCTTCGTCATTGTCTCCTTCTTCCACATATCTATACCTTTGAATAGAGCTTTCGTAGATGTACCTGGCATAGACAAATTTTCGTAGACCGAAATTTGGAACAAATGAATTTGAACTCGAAATACGGTGTTAATTCTTATTACCAATGAAGAGGATGATGAGCAGAACTGTGACCATCCAATCAGCAAACATGACATTGAAAGCAACTCCAATACTGATTCCAAGCATAAGCATGGGCTGGAAGAGCAATGCCAAATCATAGTCTATGAGGGGCATTTCCAGGGTTGGGTGCCTAAGTTTCAGGTTATAGTATACTGTTGATCCAGCTGCACCCATGATCATACCTTCAATCATAAAAATCCTTGTTATAAACATGTGATTAGTGCTAAAGACTAAACAATCAGCATAAATTATCGAGTTTTACAATGTTAATCATGTCATGATCATGCAATGTTGATGCATGAACTCACACTTGGAAATGGCGGTGGATGACTTCGGGTCAAAGCCGATAATGAGAGAGAGCATCGGCACGAAAATCCCACCGCCTCCAACGCCTCCAACGCTGCCCAACGCTGCACCGAGAAATCCGACAATCGATCCCACAACTATTTTCCAACCAAACTCCATCTCCTGCTCCAAAAATGATTAAATTCATATACATCAAACTCAACAATCTTGACAAGAATTAACAGTTGCATAAGATAATCGGCTGACGGCTTTACTTACCGGCCAGACAGGTTCATAGCCAGACTTCTCACCTTGCCAGAGGAAGTTGACAACTCTAACAAGAAAGCCCTGTGTTTTAACTGTCTCTTTGGGGACATGTCGGTTCCCTTTGTCTTTCAATAATCTCTCTGCTATCCCCACATTGCTCATCACCACAAGAACCAGAAAGACTCTCCATGCCATGATTGCCAACCATCTTCTGTTAACCTTAATTCCATCCATCTATTCTACGAATTTGCAGCTCAAATGAATCTCTTTTTGAAGCTTTAAGTTCACTCAATTCTCTTCTTATCACTCTCCGGTACCAATACAGTAGCTCACAACATGGGAGAAAAAAAAATATGAAAAGTAATGACTTCACTCCATCGGTACCTTCCCTGGTGTCTACATTTATAAATGTCTCTGTACTCCTTCCCTGATTTTTACCCCACGACACAGTTCCTCAGATCCTCCCAGTACTAACTGGATGTTTTAACCATGGTGGATTATATACCTAGACATGGATATAAGATAACATATTTTAAAAAAATAAAATATTAAAACATACTTGTATAGGATATATACTCATGTCTGCAATTCATCATAAATCCGGCTGAGTCAGAAGTGTGAATGAATCGAGTTTAAACTAATAATTGTGTTTGAGTTTGTTTGTTTATTTTTGAAGTTGTTATTGTTCGATTCGTGTTCGTTTGTTTATGTTCGAAAGTATTTTTGTTTAATTCGTTTAACATTCACGAATATATTCATTTAAGGTTCGCAAACCATATATGTTCGTCGACATATTTATTTATATGATTAAAAATAATAAAATTATGACAGTAGACCTTAAGCTCTTTAGACTTCACATATTCAATCTCAAAGTTCGTCTTGTATTTAACTTAGTTTTTACTTTCACCAATATTTAAAATGTTAAAAAGGTAAAAGAAAAAAAGAGAATCGGTTAGACGAGTTTATAAACAAGCTTTATAATGAGTTTGTTCGTGAACATAGAGGAACCGAACACACCTCTATTCGTGTTTGTTCGTTTATTAAATGAATATAAAAATTTATTCATACTAATTTATTTGATTTAATAAATAAACATCGTAAGAACGATTTGCGAACAATTTATCAAACGCTTTGTTGATTAACATTCCTCCCGCTAAACATAGGTTTTGGAAGTGGAAATGAAGAAAGCAAAGGCAAGATGGCGAGCTATGCTTGGAGGAAACTTCTCCGAAGCAGCATACAAAATTGTCAAACATTTTAGTACGGAACAAGAAGTAATATTAATAGGCAGCATCGAAAGTTACAGTAAAAGGGAACCCATTAATGGTGATTTATACGGAAAATCCATGAAGCTTCATATCTGCTTCAGTCCATCTTGGCTTCTTATTTTAACTGTTTTAACATGTTTCCTTCTTTAGTCTTTACCAGATTCACGTCTTCTGCTGGTTTTGGAATTTTCTGATCCAACGGTTCACTTCGGTGATGGATAATTAATTGTGATGAGATTAAAAGTAATAATGACGGTGAATGTAGTTATCGAAAGTTAATAGTGATTAAGATAAAAAAAACGACATATTATGGTTAAATTCTATCATCAGTCCATGTACTATGTGTAAGTTGTGAATTTAGTCTATATATTATAATTTGGTCAACTTTCGCCCTTGCACTTTTCATGTTTCAAGTTTTAGTTATAATCCAAATAATTCGTGGACAATATGACTAAATTATAGGAGCTTAAGACGATCAAATTAGATAACTAGAATTAAATACAAAAAATTTGCATTAACAAGGACTAAAATGATGATTAAAGAACAAGAACTAAACCATAACTATTATTTGAGTCGAGACAAAAAAAAATGAAAATTTCAAAAGTACAGGTTTTCAAATTGAATAAATTATAGTATGAAAACTAAATCTACAGCTCTTGGCTAATAGGTGACTAACATAAGTATTTGACCTGTTATTATCATAATATAAAATTGGTAAAATGGTGTTTTTAGCCCTCAACATTTTTGAAAAGTCATTGCAGCCCTTAAACGGGGAGTGTAATTAATTGGCTCTGTTTGGAACATAATCTCGCTCTCTCTTGAACGGCCAGGTTCACCAGTGTTACTAGGGCGATGAAACGCGTAAAGGATAGGACTAATGAAGAAGGGTTGGAGCAGATTATGGTTGGTATCGGTGATGAAGCGATAAAGGACGATGACAGAAGAAGGGATGCTGCTTCAGCGGTATAGTAAGAGATGGCCAACAGGCCAAGGTAAGTGAATTTCTGGGTTTCTCACAAAGCTCAAGGAATTGTTCGGTGATCTTAACAGAGCTATACGATGAATTGAAACATGCTTGGAGTATGAGGTTCAGGAGAGTCGATGTTGAAACGGATACTCGAGGTGTGTCGCTTGCTGGTTCAAAAGTCTTTGGTAGGAACGAGCAAAACTCGACTCGAAAAATCGATTTTTTTTTTAATTTTGAGTTATTTGAGTCAATTTGAATTATCAATTCAGTTTTTGAATTCGAGTCAAATTGAAATTTGGAATTTCGAGTTACTCGAATAACTGAAAGTTTAACTATGTATTTTGACAGTTTTATGATTTAGTCTCTGATTTTATTATTCATTCATTTTAAGTTTACTTTTAATCAAATTTAAACCACATGCTCTTAAACCATAGTAGAAACCATATGCACTTTTAGTTCCTCTTTTCGATAACAAGTTTTCTATTTTTCAATTTAGTTCATCAATTTTTTATATTTTTTTTTATTTCTTCAATTCATCCTTTATTTTAATTATATTTTTACCAAATTTGAACCGCATGCTCATATACCACCACATAATACATATGTAACTTCAATTCATATATATTTTAACTAAAAATGTGGTATCCTTTTCATTTAGATCCTTAACATTGCATTTTACCCAATTTGATCTTTTGACTGTAATTGTTTGCAAATTATTTCTTCACATCAATTCATTGACTCTTTTATACCCTCATCAATATTTTACCCTCAAATAAAGGAAATTATAATATTATAAATATATTTTATAATTTTATATTTTATTTTATATATTAAATAACATTATACTGTGAAAAAAATATGAAATATATGATTAGAGAAAGTCAAAAATATTAGAATTAATCATTACCATAATAATTATAATAAAATTAGCATAGAAACTCGAATAACTCGACTTAACTCAAAATATTTTCAAGTTAAGTTCGAGTTCAAAATACAACTAGTCAGTTTGAATAACCGGATTTTTTTACTTGACTCGCCCTATTCGTTCGCACTAAACGGATAGGTCTGTTTGACGTCTGTCGTGTGATATTAGATTATTTAAACTTGGGAGAAGAATGTTTTATGAGAAATCACAATAAGAAAGTACAGGAAAAAAAAGAGGGAAACTTCAATATTTATGCAAGTTATTTACAATCAACAAACTGCCCATTCAATGAAAAAAAAAGTACAAAATAGAAGTGGGTTGGCCCAAAACAACCAAAATGTGAAGCACTCTCTATAACTTTAAAAGGCCCAATTAAGCAACCCAGAACTAGTTTTCGGCTTTTGCGTATCCACAATTCTAACTGCACAACCGAGTAGCTAGCGGCTGCACCCTATCGAAAATTGTAATCACACCGTTGATCACAATCCATCCACAGTAAAGACTGTCAATCAGGATGCGGAGGTGAAAGGTCCCATCCCATCCCATGTGACTGATACCCAATGGACATGTGTGCTGATAAAGTACAGACTGATCTGGTCAAATTGCCTGAACCCACCCAATTGCTTGATTATAACAACTACAATATCTACATGGTTTTAAACCTTTGAATCCACCGAGTCCCTCCGCTCCGCCAAACACAAAAACAGTAGACTCCCGATCCGAGTCCGAACTGGGGGTAAACCCATCATAACTACCATTTGAATTAACAAATAGCAACGGCTATATAAATAAAAAAGCCCAGCGGGAGGAACAAATTTTGCTAACGACTTTTTGAATGTTTTGGTTCCAACAACAACAGTCACTATCATTTTAACATCAAATCCCCCTGTTCCAAAGCTTTTCTAAGCTTTTAACATAAACATCTAACTCCGGATTCGGGAAAAAAAAAAAGTTAACCATGCTTCTTTGATGACTTTGCGAACTCAACAACATCATCATCATCATCCACGTCTTCCTCTGCATCGCCACTTCTCTTTCTCTTAATCTGTGAAGACGATGGCAACACTTCCTCATCATCTTCAACTTCTTCCTCCTCTTCTGCATCTTCTTCTTCATTCATCTGCTCCATACCACTACCTCTGGCATCATGTTCTTCAGCTTGGCCCACTGGTTGAACCAGGTATCCTTCACCATAATCATCCTGCTGCCATAACATACACCAAAATATGAGTTACACAAAGAACTCAATTCAATTATTTCGTCAAAGCAGAAAATATTACATTGAACTAAATTTTCCCTTTAAAGAAAAAGGCATTGTATTGAAAACAAAATATCGTATAATCTAAGATGGCACTGCAATTAGCCAGCTTCTATTTCTCTCTCCGTCCTCCAAAACATCAAGATAATTACAGTAACAACGAATAATTCAACTAAAACTACTGTAACAACACAAAAAAATACACAAAATGCCAATATCTTTTTTTTCAAAAGAGAAACAAGAAGTTCCTAAATCCATGAGCAAAAACAACTTCACTAAGAATGCAATGTGCAGATTGTCAAATAGGCAGATAGGTTGAGAGAAACTAAAAAAGTTAACAGATAAAAATGTATACAATAAATGTAATCCCCATAGATACCTTGAATATCAAGATAAATCTACAGAAACTTCATAAAGTAAGCAGCCATTGCATTTCAAAGATGCTTATCAGCTTTACAAGTATATTATCATGGTAAAGTAGTTCGAAAGTGATAAAAACACGCTTCGAAGACAAGAACCCCAATTCACCTTCTCTGACAATGAGAATATGAAAAAACAAAAACCAACAGTTCAACGAAAGAGCCAATGAGCTACATGTCTCAAGGGATTCAAGAAAAACATTAGAGAAACCTCCATCAAGCTAAAAATCTAAGACCATTGTGCTTCGACATAATTTCTCATCGTGCAAGCACTTATAAATAAGAGTAAATGAGAAAAAGAGTTAAAAACTAACCTAGAATCCACTAAATACATTAGCGAAACATACAAATACCAAAATGATCAATGAAGCATGCATAAATTGTTAAAATGTTGTGTATATGAGCTCTTCCACGGGGAAATCGTAAACTACATATATGATTTTCTAACAAGAAAACTAGACAGATTTATAGCAGGAAAATCTTGGCACCATTACAGAAGCACAACACATTTTGTTCCCTCCCTGATGTTTCAAAGAAACAAAGGCACACTGCAAAATTAATTATAAGGCCAAGAACAAATTGTAAAGTTAAAAGCACAGCCATGCCATGGCAGATCGGCATCTTCTTTTCCTGAAAATTCTAAAATGGTTAATTCAATCAAAAAAACATTCACACCTGCTAAGGACAAAAACAGTCAGAAAAACTGGAAACTAAAACACACCAATTAGGTTAAGAGTAAAAGGAATCTCACCTCCTCTTCGCCCTCTTCTTCATCATCAAATTCCTCATCATTTTCAACACCTTGCTCTTCTTCCTCACCAGTCTCACCATTATCATCCCCATCATCTTCTCCATGTTCATGCCCATCAATCTCCCCTTCTGTGCTCATCAAACCCCTAGCACTCCCTGGCTCAGTAAAATCTACATCATCATTATCCACCTCTTCCTCGTCATCATCCTCAACCCCATCTTCCTCGTCATCACTACCCCCAATCTCATGACCTTCCACAACATCTTCTTCTTCCTCCTCTTCATCGTCATCATCATCATCAACTTCCTCATCTGAAACATTCTCATCATCGTCATCCTCGTCGTCTTCATCATCATCTCTCCCTACTTGCTCTATACGAAACCTGTTGGCCTCATGGCTCTGCACATTTACTCTTCTACCAATTTCAGTCTCTTCTTCATCAGCATCACTGTCATCATCATCTTCTTCATCCTCATCAGCAATCCCTTCCTCTTCTTTACTATGCCCATTATTCATTCTGTTGGGCCGATCCTCTCCATCGATTTCCCCACTCCCTGGATCCTCCTCCTCCTCTTCATCTTCATCTTCCTCCTCCTCATCCGATTCCGGCCTTTCATTCCCCTCAGCGTCCATTTTATCCAAATATTTCAACGATTTAATCAAACCAAAAACTCTAGAACGATAATCCTTAACTCTGGTAACTGGACACTGATAAAGATCGAGCGAAACAAGCTTAAGCTGAGCAAGCGGGGCAAGATCCTCAATATATTGAATCCGATTGTTGGACAAGTCGAGGTCTCGAAGCGAGTCAAGGCCAGCTTCAACGAGGAACTCAAGTCCACCGGCTATTCTGTTATCAGAAAGGATAAGCTTCTGGAGATTTCGTAGACGAGGAAACTGTTCTAGGGATGAAACCCCTATGTTGGCGATGGAAAGGTGTTCAAGATTCTCAAATTTTTCCAAGAGACTAGGCGGCGGGAGTCGACCTTGAACACACTTCACCGCACCGTCAAGTGTCAAGGTCCGAGTCGCCGTGCGGTCGGTGTGTCCATCTAGCGCTGTCTCCACCGCTCTCTCCCAGATCTCGTCCATCAATAACGACACCCTAACCCTATTTTTTTCTGATAGACCGAGAGTTCGTATCCAACCCGTCTAAACAGCTTAAACACTAAAGTTTTTTTTCCTTTAAGATGTACGGATCCAATTCTTCCTAAGTCCCCAACCCTTGCAAATACAATTAAAAAGAAGAGAAAATCCCAATCTCAATTTTCTCTGTCCTCCTCTCTCTCTCTCTCTCTCTCTTTGGTTTTTGTTTTTTTGTTATTGTATAATTTTTTTTCCACTTATTATTAGAGACGTGTATTTATGGGCGTCGAGAGGGGATGAACCTCTACTCCATGGGAAAGGATGGGGCCATTGGGGCTCGTTGTTCCTGGCTAGGGTTAAGGCCTAAGGGTGCGGTTTTGTTCGAGGGAGCGGGGGGTTGAGGTAAAGTAGTGGTTTCGTGAATTATTGGAAGACTGGAAAGCCGTTGGATTGACGAAGACACGGATCGGTGAGGTGGATTAAATGGACGGTGAAGATGGTAGGCGGATGTGTTTGTTTTCTACATATATTTAGGCACACGAGAGAAAATGCGCAGGCACAAACAGAACGGACCTGTAAATTTGTGCCACGTCACTTGAAGTTAAAATATCAGGAAGATTAAAAGAATACCACTGGAACTTAAATATATTACGCAAGTGCCACACACGTTGGTTGTGGACAGCTGGATTGGCTAAGCAACGGCGAATCAAGGCCCAGCCTACGACTTTCAAACCCAAAAAAGTTGCATATGACAGATATTCACAGTAATAGAAATTAATTTCTAAAATTTAGGTTCCAATTTTAAGTTTTTTTATTTGTATTGTGTATTTCTAATTTTCTAAATGATATTCAAAACTAATGGAGGCAATTGTTTTTTTAATTGCACTACTAAAAAAAGTATTAGTTAAAAAAAATATTACCAAACATCAACCCTACTTAAACACCACCACAAAATCATATTTAAAATAATAACAAAATCAGATCACTGCCGAGTTCTAAAGCCTTGAGAGCTTTAAAGGTTTGATTATCCAGATTTACCACACAGAACAAAGAATAAAGATCATGACAGAAGAAGAGGAAGAATTGAGAACCTACCTAAATAAATACATAGTTTGAGAAGAATTATATGGTTTTGCCAATCATCAGTTTTACCTCTCACAAACTTGGGCAGCACACAGCCAAACCCAGAGGTACAAAAGTGCAATAAAGATTTCAACTTTGAAGCCTCAGATTCGGCATTCTTGGTAAACATCATTCATTGATCACTTCCAGTTGTGGGTCTAACTGTCCATGCTGGTTTGTTTCAGACTTTTCCTCGGTTCTCTTGCACTCTGCCAACATAAATGGTAAAGAAAGTCTCATGGCCACTGCAAAAATTCATGCATGTCTCACTCTACAAAGTAACAAGTGTAAACAAGCAGATAATGAATATAAAATGAAGTTACTATTTCTATAATAAGCTTGTTTCCTTCAATTGTTCCAAACTGCAATTTTACTTATACAATCAAATCCAAAAGGATATGATATATCCATCTTATGAATCGTTGTATGCAATAAGTCTTTCTTCTATGATGCCTGATGCCATTAAGCTTTAACCATGATGAAAACATCGATAGCAAGAGAAGGAAAACTTGGGGCAGGATCTTGCAGATTGTTCACTATAGTCAATTAGGTAAAAAAAACAATCTAGGATTTCAATCACACTCGATATTTTCTACCCGTGATCACATTCTCTCTACATACTCCATTAGATAAACTGGTTCTCAAGTCCAGAAAATCCCCATGGTTCATTGAATTAAAATGCAAATGATCGGAAGAATAATCGGAGAAGACCCCTGTTCCTTATTTGTCTCCCTAAAAACATTGTAAAATGTAGCACCAAGGAATGTCTTCAGCTCAGAAATCATGTAAAATTCAGATTATAAGCTCCAACTGTCAAACTGGTTGAGGGGATATATCTACTCATTGAACTAATCAGATCTATTTGAATGCCTTTCCATGTGAAACTTTACTGACCATTGATCTAATTCAATCGACTTATTCATTCTACTTGACTCATTCGAACCAAAGAATTCAATAATAGATGAACCACCGAATCTTACATCTCTATCCGGCTATCCCCTTATAAAATTCTGTCAAGAGAAACATTCCAGCATCCTCACAGCACCATGGAAAAGGTCACTTAAACGGGTTCAAACTCTAAAACTTAATATGCCCAAGATTAAGATTAATTAAAGCTTTGTCAAAACTCGGAACTGATCTCTTCTACAAATCGAGGCCAAGAGGTACAATACATTATTTAAAAAAAAATTCTTAATCCACCAACAGAATTGATAGAGATAATAAGAAAAATAAATTAGCTAGAAAGGCAAATCAGGAACACATGGACTCTAAAAGATTAGCAACCAAATTTAATACGTCTTTCTTGGAAGAAAATGAAGATAAACACTCTAACTGGATAATTATTGTCTGCAGACCGCAAAGTAGCCAACAATGGCGTAAATTGGAGCATCATTAATGCTTGAATAGCCACATTTATTCTATATCACCAAAAACTAAGATAAGAACGATAAGAACGAAAAATAAATAATTAATTTACAGAGGAAGAAAACCCTAAATTCTTACAATCGATTGGATGCGAGGATGGTAAAGATCCACGGACCGTATGGACATCTTAGCGATCTCAGTGATTGTGTCTTCTCTAACCCCGGGCACATCACTGGTCAACTCCTCGTAGCCAGCCTCAAACGCCTCTTGCCAAAACCTCATTAATCTGATCCGACAGCTGTTAGTGTACGCATCCCACATGTGCTTCACCACTTTCTCTCTCTCCTCCATTTCCTACCAAGAAAAACAAAACAATTGAGAAACAAAATTTTTTAGATAAATGAGTCGTATCCGCTTCTCTCTTGGTTCAAGGTGCTTTTTGTTTTTTTCATCGATCATTTCATCTCATCTCAACCATAACCGCCCGCCATCTTTATACATCGCGTTCGTCGTCTATTGTACAACGTCTATTGTCTACAGTCCGACTTCCGCCGTTCGCCGCCACATTCCGTTATTCGTTCGCTGCCATTTTTACCCAGAAAGATCGTTTCCTCACTCTGATTTTATTTTTGAGATTAGATTTATGAGAAAATAATCCATTCGGCGCAGATCTAAACGCCGTCCTTCACCGACTTTCGCCTCCGGCCGTCGTAGGTTCACCGTCATATCATCGGGCTCGTCGTACAATCGCGATCTATTCCCATCTATCCTAGCGTCGCTGCCTTTCTCTGTTTTTCTGCCTTTGACCGGCTAAGATTCGACAGTCGGACTCTCTTCATCATTTTCGTCCTTCTTTTCTTCGCCGGCATCACATATTTCACGATCCCGTTTTATTCTGACGGTTTCGTTGAAGTCACAGCATATTTTCGCCGGACTAGCGGTCGGGATTTCTTGTCAGGTCACTGGGTTTTCATTATATGGAGGGTGTTGGAATCGATCCTTGTCACCAGCAGAGACCATCGGTCCATGCTCCTCCACCATCCACAGCATCGTCTTCTCCAATATCTCATCATTCTCATCAAGACAAGGTTCGTACTATTTTCATTTCGGGTCTACCTGAAGATGTCAAAGAGAGAGAGCTGCAAAATTTGTTGAGATGGCTCCCTGGTTATGAAGTCTCGCAAGTGAGCTATAAGGGTGAAAAGCCTAAGGCTTTTGCTCTTTTCTCTAATGTCAAATTTGCAGTTGCTGCCAAGGTTGCCCTTCAGGAGATGGTTTTCGATATCAAGTTGAAGTCTTTTTTGCATATTGAGATGGCAAAGAAGAATCTGGTTGTTAAAAGAGGAATAGGTAGAGAATATTATCCTGTTCCTCCTGTTTTGCCAGTGTCGAATCCAGCTCCAGTAGCGTTTCCAAGTTTTCATGTGCCTGATAATTCTGGGAGTTGTGTTGAAAAGTCTGCTGCAAATATTGACATCGGATTGTCTTCTTCTCTTGGAGGGAGACAAAAGGCAGGAAAGAATTCTTTAGTTCGGGTATCTCTAGCTCTTCCTATCGTTGATATTGAAGACGGAACCAAGGAGTGCGACATGAAAGGCCTCTCCTTTGAAAAGTTTCTCGAAGTTTCGAGGAGGAGAAGAAATGGGTTCCAAAATTTGTCGATGGATGGTCATCCAAGAATCGAAAATGGGGTCATAAATGGTTGTTTCACGATTTTTATCGAAAACCTTCCAAAGAAGATCCATTGGAAGAGACTTGGGTCTATTTTTGGCACACATGGTCAAGTTATTGATGCATTCATTCCTAAAAAAAGAAACTCGAAAGGGGTTCGTTTTGGGTTTATTCACTATGCAACAATTGAAGAAACCAAGATAGTGATATCTAAGATAAATGGTAATTATATTTACGGTTGCAAAGTTAGAGTCTCTCTGGCTAAATATAAACCCCGACAGTCTTTCTGGAGGAAGGCCTCGACAGTGGTTCATAGTAAGTCTAGGAGAGATGTTACTCCGAGGAATAAACTCTTTAAAGTTGAGGGCGTAGTGGACGATGATAAACTACAAGTGTTGAGCAATTGTCTTATGTGATGGTGCAAGAATTTTATTAAAATTGGTAATCTTGCTAACCAAATACAAGCAAAAGGATTAGCTGGTTTCACGCTGATGAGAGCTGCTGGTAATGTAATTCTCATGGTTTTTAAAGACTCTGATTCGATGAGAAGCGTGAAGGATGATAAGTTAGAGATGCTTGCAGAATGGTTTCCATAGTGGAAACTTGGTCAGAGAGCCTATTGGTGGAGTGCAGGCGCGTGTGGTTGGTTTGCAAAGGTATCCCTTTTCACGCTTGGAATTGGGATACTTTCAAAAACATCGCAACTAAGTGGGGCAAGTTAATAGCAATTGACAACAGTTGTGAGTTTCCATCGTCCTTTGATAGGGCTAAAATTCAAATACTCACAAATGATAAAGGGAGAATTGATGAGTTGTTAGAGTTGAAGGTCGGTGATAGTTCATTCAATGTCTTGGTGCATGAAGTTGATCCTTCCTTCAAACCTAATTCTTGGGTCCCTGAAGATTGCGATATTTCATTTGATCTTATTCCTCCTATTGGATTGTGATGTTTCAGCAGCAGTATTCAAAGGTGTTTTCTAGTTTGAGGTTGTAATTGTTGGTTTTTATTTGGCTATGTTATCTTATATCTTGAGGTGTTTTTTAGAGATAGGGTTTGTCTTAGGTCGTTTTGTTTGAAGATGTAAGATTTCTAGGTTTTTGGTTTGTAATGGCATATATTCCCGTATGAGGGATTGGTGTTACCAATTGTACTTGGTTTACTATTTAATAAAATATGAGGTACTCTTTTCTCCCTTCCAATGTTCTTCAACATACTCCTAAGTATGTGGAAGAATACGAAGGGAGTTTTTAATGAGACCTCCAACTTCTATAAAAAAAAATTTAGATAAAAACAAACTTAGAAACGAGGAAAACAAAACAATTGAGAGGAACATACGAGGACATCTATGTCACCGTGGAAAGGACTATGGAGATCACCGAAAAGACGGTTCAGATTACGGGCTGACCACCGAAGAGTAACGGTGGCGGTGAACATGGACCACAATGAGAACAACAAAATGGCCGCTAATGCCCAGCACTAGTACCGTCTATTACCGAATAAACTGGAACCTGAACTTTCCTTTTTCAAATTCGCTGTCGCCGATGTCGGCAGACTGTCCTCATCTTTAATCTCGAATCGCAATGTAAACTTTTGGTTCTAATATTTTCACAAATTTATTGTTTACCCTTTGAGTTATACTACTAAGAGATGAGTTGGGATTTGGGGAGGACACATTCAAGAAGGCGATTGATGATTGATGTCGATATGCCGTCTCACAGTGGAGATCAATGGGAGAAGCAGTTAATAGTATTTTATTAGACGTAGCTTTTTTACTGGCCACCACACTAGATTATTTCCGCTTTACTTGATCGTTTTACTCATCTGTGAACGATTTTGACCGTTGATGTTTCGGTACAGAATTAGCAGTTTATATGATAATTGTCATTCTCCTTAGATATGTCATATAACACCAACTCAAGACGGCGCATTTTTCCCGCTACTCGATATTATTAATTTTATGAAATTGACCTCTTTAAAAATAATAATAATAATAATAATAATAATAATAATAATAATAATAATAATAATAATAATAATAATAATAATAATAATAATAATAATTTCATGAAATCGAACTATCTGATTTATTTGCCGAAATGTCATTACTTAATAATTATTTTCAAATATATTTTTATAATAATTTATATGACTAAAAAAACAAAGAGAAAATAATCTCAGTGACCAAAAATGTCTTATAATATACGATTTTAACCAACTTTTTTTGGATTTGCCAAAATGACCAACTAAATCGCAATGCGATCGATAATTCGCAACGCGATCTCCGGTATCGTAAATCAGTTTCCAGATTCGCAACGCGAACTTCGACTATCGCATTGCGATTTACATATTCGCATTGCGATAGTCCAAGTTCGCAGTTCGCGTTACGATTTATTACAAATTCGTTGCGATAGTCCAAGTTCACGTTGCGATTTATTCCAAATTCGTTGCGATAGTCCAAAATCGCAACGACTGGTGGTATTGCATTTGTTTCTTAAGAATTTTCTCTAAAAAGATAGTATTCGCGCGGACGTGTCGAAGACACGTATTACCAAGACCACGACCACGACCACGAGACGAGACGGACGGCGGCAAAGGCGACGCGCGAGAGTCCCCCTTGTTCTCTATCACTCAACAAGGATGTGGGAAAGCCAAGCCTTAAATACCATTCACAATAGTGTTTTCAATACTATGTGGGATTGAGCATTACCAACACTTGTTTCCAATACTATGTGATTATTCAGGAAACAATTAACAATCATGCACCTTAAAACAACTGAATCAACAACCAATTGTATTAGTATTATACGATTAAATATGTCATAATTAAAAGTCAATCTACAATCAATCGTGATTATTGCAATTTTAAGCAAAACATTCAAAAAAAATTGCATCACTCGCGAGAATAAAAAAAATTGTTATCGTGCAATTATAATCAATTGAAAATAAATTAGAATTGCATGAAAACTAAACGAACCACAAATACTTTTCATACAAATACTAAAGTCATTAACTATAATTCATAAATAATATCACTATTTAAGGCTCAATCCCACATAGTATTGGGAACAAGTGTTGGTAATGCTCAATCCCACATAGTATTGGAAACACTATTGGGAATGGTATTTAAGGCTTGGCTTTCCCACTTCCTTGTTGAGTGATAGAGAACAAGGGGAACTCTCGCGCGCCGCCGCCGCCGCCGTCCGTCTCGAGTCGGGTCGGGTCGGGTCGGGTCGGGTCGTGGTCGTGGTCGTGGTAATACGTGTCTTTTACACGCCCGCGCGAATACTATCTTTTTAGAGAAAATTCTTAAGAAACAAATACAATACCACCAGTCGTTGCGATTTTAGACTATCGCAACGAATTTGGAATAAATCGCAACGCGAACTTCGACTATCGCAACGAACTTGGAATAAATCGCAACGCGAATTTCGACTATCGCAACGAACTTGGAATAAATCGCAACGCGAACTTCGACTATCGCAACGAACTTGGAATAAATCGCAACGCGAACTTCGACTATCGCAACGAACTTGGAATAAATCGCAACACGAACTTCGACTATCGCAATGAACTTGGAATAAATCGTAACGCGAACTTCGACTATCGCAACGAACTTGGAATAAATCGCAACGCGAACTTCGACTATCGCAACGCGAACTTGGACTATCGCAACGAATTTGGAATAAATCGCAACGCGAACTTGGACTATCGCAACGAACTTGGACTATCGCAACACGAACTTGGACTATCGCAACGAATTTGGAATAAATCGCAACGCGAACTTGGACTATCGCAACGAATTTGGAAAATCGCATTGCGATAGTCGAAGTTCGCGTTGCGATAGTTGATGTTCACGTTGCGAATCTGGAAACTGATTTGCGATATCGAAGATCGCGTTGCGAATTATCGATCGTATTGCGATTTAGTTGGTCATTTTGGTAAATCCAAAAAAAGTTGGTTAAAATCGTATATTATAAGACATTTTTTGTCACTGAGATTATTTTCTCAAAAACAAAACACTAACTAAATATGTCTCATAAATAGAAAATAAACTAAACAAATATTTGAAAAAACATTTTTAATAAAAACACATTTATTTATATGATATAATTTAAGTGATTTAAATTAAAGTAAATTCCAAATTTACTCTTCTTTCTCTTATTTCACTCACGATAATATGTTAAATAAAAATATTATTAATTTTAATTATAAATATTTAATTGATTCTTATGTTTAACATATTTTTTGTTTAAATTTCGAGATAAATACTTTTTATTTAATCTCATTAAAGTAAAATATTTTTAAATAAACTTTATGAAGAAGTTATTCCTTAAGTTTAAAACACTTAAATCCAATCTTAAGCAACTAAATAAGGAGTCTTTCAGTGATATTTCTGTTTGGGTTAGGGAAAAATAGGAAGAGACTAAAAAGCAGCAATTGCTTTCTTTAATAGATTTAGAGCCCATTGAAAAGGAACTCAAGTTGCAAAGGGAGCTAAATGCTTTAGAAGAAGCCGAGGCCATGTTCTTAAAGCAAAAAGAAAAAACTCATTGGCTCAAAGAGGGGGATAAAAACTCTTAGTTCTTCTATTCTGTAATTGCTACAAAGAATAAAAAAGACACCATAAGAGCTCTTATTGATGATCAATGAAGGAGATTAGACACCTTCGAAGACATGTCCGCTGAGTTTATTAATTTTTCAAAAACCTCTTTGGCTCAACCGATTCGAAAGTCACAAACTGTTCTGTTAGCTTACTCAAAGATCTGCTTAATCCAATTCCTAGAAGTGATAACTATCAAGGAATCACAAATGAAGTCACTTCCTAAGAGATTTATGAAGCTATTTATGGCCAAGGTAACGATAAGGCCCCATGACCCGATGGTTACACGCCTCTTTTCTTCAAGAAAGCTTGGCATGTGATTGGTGATGAAGTGATTGAAGCCATTAAGTTATTCTTCCAAGAGTCTATAATTTATCCTTCTTTCAATGCAACTTCCATTGCCTTAGTTCCCAAAATTCCTAACCCTTGCAAAGTTTCGGATTATCGGCCTCTGTCATCTACAAGGCTATCACTAAGATTATTGTCAAGAGAATCAATTTTTTTCTCCCTCAGCTTATCTCCCCTAATCAATCTGCCTTTGTTAAAGGGAGCAGTATTATTGATAATACTCTCATTGCTCAAGATATTGTGAAAGGGTATAGGAGGAAAAATCTCTCTCCTCGATGTGCAATCAAGATATACCTCCAAAAAGCTTTTGATTCAGTTCACTGGGGTATCATTCCTATTATCCTTAAGGCTCTTAATCTCCCTACTTATCTTATTGACAGGATTGTTGCTTGCTACTCAAATGCTACTTATTCCATTGCTTTTAATGGAAGTTTGATTGGATTTTTCAAAGGTGCTAAAGGTATTAGACAAGGTGACCCTTTATCCACTCTATTGTTTGTGCTGGTTATGAATGTCCTATAAAAAATGCTCAATACTATAGCCGCCAAAGGGATTTTCAACTTTCACCCAAAGTGTAAGAAAATTGGCCTTACACACTTAACATTCGCAGACGACCTTCTTATATTCTACAAAGGTAACCTTGAGTCTGTCTTGGGAATCATTACTGTCCTTAACTCTTCCTATGAACTTTCTGGTATTAAACTCAATGCTCTCAAGAGTGAAATATTTACTACTGTAATTTCTGCTCAAGTTATTGATAACATTATTTCTTATTCGGGATTCAAGCATGGTCTACTGCCTATTAGATATTTGGGAATCCCTCTGGTAACTAGGAAGCTTTCTCCCAAAGACTGTCAGCCTCTCCTTGACAAGATTTATTCCAGACTTAATCAATGGTCAAGGCTGAAACTTAGTTATGCAGGTCGCATTGAACTAGTTAAGATTGTTCTTATCTCTGTTGCAAATTTCTTGTACATGCAACTGATTTTACCCCAATCTGTCATACATAAGATTGAACAAATATGCTCGATATATTTTTGGAAAGGATCAGATATCCTGCCTCTGGAGCTAGAGTGAGTTGGGATCGTATATGCATCCCAAAGTCTGAAGAAGAATTAGGGATTAAGGACATTAAGTCCTGGAACAAAGTCTGCACAATTATCCATATTAAAAATCTGTTGGCTGGTGAGGGTTCTTTATGGGTTGCTTGAACTCATAAATATATTATCAAACAACAAAACTTCTGGTCCATGGACATTCCTACTTTTTCTAGCTGGACTCTTAAGAGAATAATGAAGCGTAGACAGCTTGCTTATCCTATTCTGTCTGCAGGATTAAAATGTTCTAAAAATTTATGGGAAGAGGTTAGATCGAAGAGCAGCAAAGTTTCTTGGCAGAAACTGATATGGTATTCCCAAGCACAACATCATCACTTGGATGATAATTCTGGATTGTTTGCCAACTAAGGACAGGCTGTAGAGATTTGGAATTCTTACTAACACTCAGTGCATCTTATGTTCTGAAGCTACGGAAACTAGGAATCATCTTTTTGCTGAGTGCAAAACGTCAGCCTCAATCTAGAACTCTATTCTTCTTCTTTCAGGTATTCAAAAACCGCAACTATCCTAGTCTAACTTCCTTATTTGGGCGACTGCAACTTGGAAAGGTAAATCTCTTATCACTTGCATGCTCAAGCTCTCTTGGTGTGCTTTCAACTACACAATTTGGGAGGAAAGAAACCATAGGCTATTTAGAGGTGCCCATAGAACCGAGGGGGAAGTACTACAAGCTATCAAGCAAACTGTTAGTACTCACTTAAGTAACATAAATATTAATAGATTAGATAGCTCTAATATTGATATATATAACAATTGGGGTATATTATGATTTTGTTTGTAAATAGGTTACCCTTTTTTTTGTTCCATTGATTGATTGGTTCTTTTGTAGCAACTTTGCTTTCTTTGGATAATAAAATCTTATTTATCCAAAAAAATATTTTTAAATATATATAAAAATATGAACATATTTATAATTAAAAATTTATTTAGTAAATAAGAGTTATGATGTTCAAACTTCTTAGTTGAGAGAGGTTGATTCCTCTGTAATTTTTTTCATAGAGACAAAACTACATAATTCAAGAATGGTGAAGGTAAGAAGTTCTTGTGGTTTTCGATATGGTATTGAAGTTGAACCCTAGAGGACTCGCTAATGACTATTCCTCGCTTGGAAGTTTTTGAATGAAGTGACACTATGATCAATTTCAAGTTCACATATTGATGTGATGATAACCGATAATATTGATTTTAAATGGAGGTGTACAGGTTTCTATGGTGCTCCAGAAGAACAACATTGAAGAGAGTCGTAGAATTTGCTACAAAGTTTAAATGACATATCGAATATTCTTTGCTTAGTAAAGTTGTGGATGGTTGTGGTTTATCGGATTCGGGTTCTTGGTTCACATGCGAACTGTCCGAGGCATCCCCAATCTTCGGACATTCTAGCTAAGAAGTTTCATTGCGACCGGTTGGCCTGGGTGCTCAGACCTGTCGGTATATTCGAGTTTCCAGCAACATTTTCTTCAGAAACAATCGAAGCCACTGGACTACTTCACTGTCTCTTAACACTCTCCTACTTTACGAGAGGATCATCTTCCTCTGCCCCAATCATTACCACGTTAGTCCCTCCTTGTTGATTTCTATCTATATCATGTCTTGGAAACACTTGCAACCCACGTTTTCGTCTGGTGTCTCGTATTATTTCCAACTAGTGATAATGTATTACTTCTCTCAGTATCCATATGATATGTGACAGTGCCTCTCGTTTTAGGATAATTCGATTTTATTACCCAAATATCTGTATAAAAATAGCTTGTTCAAGAATACAAACAGTATCTACTTATAGCAGAACATAATTCAGCTATTCAATACCCCAATGATTACAAAGCATAGTATTAACACTATCATTCCTATTAATACTTCTACCTCTTAGTTGGATAGAAACAGTGTGTTTTACAGCATAGAGTAATGCTTCAAAATTCCATGAGCATCCCTGGAATAGCCTCTTGTTCCTCTCCTCCCAAACAGTGTAAATAAATGTTGTCCAAGCTAATTTCAAAATTGTAGTGAACAAGGATCTACCTTTCCAAGTATCACAAGCCCAAGCTAAGTGATTTCCCCATGTACGTGATGTCCTTCGCATGCCATTGAGAATGATAACCGCATCCCATAGAGAAATAGCCAGAGGACATTGAATGAATAAATGATCACTAGTTTCCATTGAGTCATTACAAAGCACACATTTGTCATCGATATCAAACCCAAAACGTTTCAGTCTGTCTTTAGTTGGGAGTCTGTCTAATAAGGCCATCCATGCAATAATACTAAACTTAGGAATATGGAGAGGGAACCAGATCAGTTTGTGCCACGCCACTTTTACCCCTTTGTTTCGAATCAGTAGCCAAATATCCTTAATTTTCTGCACACCAGAAGTTAGCACATGGATAGCTTGGAGTCTCATTCTAAGTAAGCGTCGAAAGCTCCAAGTAGTATTAATAGAATCGTTCATATTCCAAAAATCGAAATCCTTGATTGCATAATTTTTTATCCAGGCAATCCACAAGGAACCTTCACCCGCTAGTAAATTTCGGATCAAATGCATCATACAAGCATTATTCCAGGATTTGATGTCCTTAAATCCAAGCCCTCCTTCAGGTTTAAGGAGGCAAAGCTTTTCCCAGCTTACTCTCGCACCAGTAGCAGACTTGTTCGAACCTTTCAAGAAAAAACGCGAACATAGCTGCTCAATTCGGCTAAGCACAGATTGAGGTAGAATAAGCTGTCTGCACCAGAAATTTGTAATGCTCAACAGAACAGATTTAATAATGTTGAGTTAATCGATTGACGGAATTGGCCAAGAGGGGGGTGAATTGGCAATTAAAAATTTGGTGGAAGCTTTTGCAGAAAATTGAAAGTAATTGCACATCGATTTAGAGTGGTTCGACTTTCTCAATCAAAGTCTACGTCCACTACCTTAGCTATCCACACTAAGGATTTTCCAACAAATTCACTAATTTGTTCTTTCTTTTGAGGCCAAAGAGATAACCTTACAACACCCTCAAGAATATACCCCAATTCTTGAGAACACTCTTTCCCAAAGAGAAAATTACAAATTTGCAAACTTACAAGGAAAACCTCACAAGGTAAGATGTTTGCACAATTCTAGAACAAGAAAAGAACACTCAAAGATAATTACAAATGAGCACAATGGTGTTCTTGAAAGCAAAATGAATATTGAAAGGAAAATTGGCTTGATTTGCACAAACTTGGTGTTTGATGCTTTCTCTCTTGTTTCTCTATGATTTCTTGTTGATCAAGGGCTTTAGAACTTGTTTAAATACACCTTGAATCATTTATGAACGTTGGGGATGATTAGTGAAGATCATATAGCCGTTTTAGTGTGAAAACAATTAATAAAACAACTTGGAGCGTGGGGGGAATCGGTTCCCCCTCATAGGGAATCGGTTCCCTAAGTGTAAAATTCAAATATTTCGACCGTTGAACAGGGGGGAATCGGTACCCCCTATGGGGGAATCGGTTCCCTCCGAGCATTCTGGAAATCTCGGAGCCAAACCATTCAGGGGGGAATCTACCACCTTGGTGGGGAATTGGTTCCCTCTGAGAAATCTGAAATTTTTGGCTTTGAAATGGTTCGAAATACTTTGAAAGATTATTTTGAAATTGTTTTAAGATTAAAACTTAATTTTACACTTAAGTAAGGATTAAAAATGATTTTTGAAATATTTGGAGTAATGTTTTGATATTCGAATAATTTTATCGAATATACTTAGAAAATCATTTTGGAAAATCTTAAAATTCATTTAACTTAATTTGTTATATCGAAATATCAAAATGTTTTCAACAATCTCCCCCTTTTTGATATAACAAAACATTTTAGTAATTTTAAGATTTTGAAATCAAGTTTTGAAATTACTCCCCCTTACTTTAACACTTCTCCCATTTATCATTTTTAAAACATACTTAAAACACACACTTCTCCCCCTTTTTGTTAAATCAAAAAAGATTCAAAGAAACGTGAAAAACATTTAGCCAATTGATTAGGTATATGTATGCATAAGCTGCTAAGATCACAATCAAGAGAAACGTTAGCCATTAGTTCCATAATCAATATTCATAAACAATGTGATATGGAAAAATTGGTCATATATCTAACATGAAGTAAATGATGTGATAATGAATAAATCACACAAAACATATAAGTTCATACCATCCATAAATCCAAACAAATTCACAATCAATCAAATTCAAACATTCCAAAATATTCAAAATGTTAAAACAATAAGTTTGGAGTTCAAAGTAAAACATTTAATCACATATCCGAATCAGGAGGAGGAAAACGAGCTCGCATAGCGGCCATTTCGTTAGTGAGGTCATTAATACGTGCGTTGGTTGCTTCATTATTTGCACGCATTTCCCGAAGAATTTCTAATTGTTGAGCTCCTATTGTGGATAAATGAGACTCTATAGAAGTAAAACGCGAATCCATGGTCGCATATCGGAAATCAAATGTCTCCATAAAAGATTGAAAATATGGAGGCATTTGAGTCGATTGTTGTGCGTGCTCCTCGGGTTGCTCAGGCTCATCTTCGGTTTCATCGATATCCCTCATTAATTGTTCAAACTCTGGATCTTCTTCAACTTCTAGTGGAGCTTGTGAAGAACTAGCTCCCAGAGTAGTTGCAAAAGATCGAACCCATTCACCGGTTTCTTTATTTTTGACCCATCCCGCTCTTGTTAAAGAAAGAAGATTGATTTGTTTCTTAAGAGGAAAGGAGTCATCTAGACCAACTCGAAGCTCGGCTTTAGAAAAGAGATTACTAAGGATACAACCGTAAACTAGTGAAGAACAAAGTTTTTTATTTGGCACTAGGTTAACGGTTTCAACAATCTCAGCAAAGATAATCTCGGAAAGGTTTATTTTTATATTGTGTTCAAAACAATGCAATCACCAAAGATCTAAAGCTCTGAGAGTAGAATAACGACCCCCGGATGGTCGAAACC